TAATCCCAGCACTTTGGGAGGCTAAGGCCGGCAGTTCACAAGGTCAGGAGTTCGAGACCAGCCTGGATAACATGGTGAAACCCTGTCTCTACTAATAGTACAGAAAAAATTAGCTGGGCATGTTGGCACACACCTGTAATCCCAGCTACTTGGGAGGCTGAGGCAGAATTGCTTGAATCCTGGAGGCGGAGGTTGCAGTGAGCTGAGATCGAGCCACTGCACTCCAGCCTGGACCACAGAGTGAGACTCTGGGTGGCAGCAGGGGGTTGGTGGGGAGGGAGAAAGTCATGGCAAAAACTACAATTACTTTTTTTTTCTTTTCTTTCTTTTCTTTTTTTTGTGGGGGGCGGTGGTGGAGCCTCACTCTATGGCCCAGGCTGGAGTGCAGTGGCATGATCTTGGCTCACTGCTGCCTCTGCCTCCAGGGTTCAAGCGATTCTCCTGCCTCAGCCTCCCAATGAGATTACAGGCACTCACCACTACCCTCAGCTAATTTTTGTACCTTTAATAGAGATGGGGTTTCACCATGTTGGCCAGGCTGGTCTCGAACTCCTGATCCACCCACCTCAGCTTCCCCAAGTCCTGGGATTACAAGCAGGCATGAGCCACGGCACCCAACTTTTTTTTTTTTTTTTTTTTTTTTTCTGAGACGGAGTCTCGTTTTGTCGCCCAGGCTGGAGTGCAATGGCTCGATCCCACTGCAGCCTCCACCTCCTGGGTTCAAGTGATTCTCCCACCTCAGCCTCCTGAGTAGCTGGGATTACAGGCGCCCGCCATAACGTCTGGCTCATTTTTGTATTTTTAGTAGAGAAGGGGTTTCACTACGTTGGCCAGGCTGGTCTCAAACTCCTGACCTCAAGTGATTTGCCCACCTCGGCCTCCCAAAGTGCTGGGATTATAGGCAGGAGCCTCCATGTCTGACCTACTTAACTCTTTTATCTCCTTGCACACTTTTTCTCTGTGGCCCAGTCACAACTTAACATCTTCGTAGACATATACCTGAGTTTTGTTTGTTTGTTTTTTCTTTGAGACAGAGTTTCACTCTGTCACCCAGGTTGGAGCACAATGGCGCGATCTCGGCTCACTGCAACTTCTGCCTCCCGGGTTCAAGCAATTCTCCTGCCTCAGCCTCCTGAGTAGCTGAGACTAAAGGTACATACCACCATGCCTGGCTAATTTTTCGTATTTTAGTAGAGACAAGAGTTTCACTGTTTTGCCCAGGCGGGTCTTGAACTCCTGAGCTCAGGCAATTCACCCACCTTGGCCTTCCAAAGTGCTAGGATTACAGGGGTTAGCCACCCTGCCTGGCCTCTGAGTACTTTGTTTTTCTGAGATGGAGTCTCGCTCTTTTGCCCAGGCTGGAATGCAGTGGCCCATTCTCAGTTCTGTCTCCTCTGTCTCCCCAGTTCAAGTGATTCTCACTGCAACCTCTGCCTTCCGGGCCTGGGTTCAAGTGGTTCTCCTGCCTCAGCCTCCTGAGTAGCTGAGACTACAGGTGTGCACCACCACGCCTAGCTATTTTTTTTCTATTTTTAGTAGAGACTGCCTTGTTGCCCAGGCTGGTCTCGAACTCCCGAGTTAAGGCAATCCGCCCACCTTGGTCTCCCAAAGTGCTAGGATTACAGGCATGAGCCACCGTGCCTGGCCTCTCAGTATTCTTTTTTCTTTTTACTGTTTCCTACATCAGCCCCAGTAGAGCCACTGAGTGCCCTCGTTGGGGCCAAGCACACGCAGATGCTCAGTAAATGTTGAATACGTGGGTAAGGACAGCCCAGAGCTTGCAGACCTGTGTTGAAAGGGTGTCCCTGAAGAGAGCTTCTCTCCAGTTGGCACTGGAGAGGCCTGTCATGGGCAAGGAGGTAGCTGTGATGACCTCAGACCTGAGAAATCCTGCGACGGTAGGGGAGATGGCTGTGAATAATGTAACCATGAGCCAGACAGAGAATGGAAATTCTGGTAGGTTCTAAGAGGTAGGCCAGCGAGGGGCTGAACTAGAGGTTGACATAGGGTGAGAGTGGGAATGTCTATTTTATTTTATTTTTTATTATTTTTTAAAGACAGGGTCTCACTCTTGCTCAGGCTAGAGGGCAGTGGCATGATCACAGCTCACTGAAGCCTCAATTTCCCTGGCTCAAGTGATCCTCCCAGCTCAGCCTCCCAAGCAGCTGGGACTATAGGTGCTCGCCACCACACCTGGATAATTTTTATATTTTTGGTAGAGACAGGTTCTCACCATGTTGCCCATGCTGGTCTTGAACTCCTGGGTTCACGTGATCCCCCTGCCTTGGCCTCTCAAAGTGCTTGAATTATAGATGTGAGCCACCACACCCGGCTTATTTTATTTTGAGATGGAGTCTCGCTCTGTCACCAGGCTGGAGTGCAGTGGCGTGATCTCAGCTCACTGCAACTTCCACCTCCCGGGTTCAAGTGATTCTCCTGCCTCAGCCTCCCGAGCAGCTGGGACTATAGGCACGTACCACCATGTTTTGTTTTGTTTTTTTTTTTTAGTAGAAATGGAGTTTCACCATGTTGGTCAGGATGGTCTCAATCTCTTGACCTCATGATCCACCCACCTTGACTTCCCAAAGTGCTGGCATTACAGGTATAAGCCCCTGTGCCTGGTCCCTAATTTATTATTATTATTATTTTAGATGGAGTCTGTGTTGCTGAGGCTGGAGTTCAGTGGCTAGATCTTGGCTCACTGCAACCTCCGCCCTCTGGGTTCAAGCGATTCTACTCCCTCAGCCTCCCAAGTAGTTGGGACTACAGGCACATGCCACCATACCCGGCTAAGTTTTGTATTTTTAGTAGAGCTGGGTTTCACCATGTTAGCCAGGCTGGTCTCGAACTCCTGACCTCAGGGGATCGGCCTCCCTCAGCCTCCCAAAGTACTGGGACTATACGCATCAGCCACTGCACCTAGCCTCGAACTCCTGAGTTTAAGTGATCCTCACACCTCAGCCTCCCAGAGTGCTAGGATTACAGGTATGAGCCACCATACCTGGCCTAAGCAGGAGGAAGTGTCTATTTTAGACTTAGTGGTCAAGGAAGGCTTCTCTGAAGAGGTGATGTTGGAGCCAGGCCTCCCCAGGTGATTGGAAAGTGTCAGCCATGGGGAGATGTGGAGGGAGGGTATTCCAGGCCAAGGAAGGGTAAGATCAAGTAATTCAGGGATTTAAAGGCAGAGGAATCTGGACTCCAGGCCTCCCATTCAGGGCTTCCCAGGAGAGACAGGGAGGATCTCATAAGGATGTGTGACTTTGTGGCTCACTCATGCCCACAGCGGGGACCATGCCCATCCTACACACCCTGTTTTTTTTTTTTTTTTTTTTAAGACTGTGTCTCCCTCTGTTACCCAGGCTGGAGTGCAGTGGTATGATCATATTTCACTGCAGTCTTGACCTCCAGGGCTCAAGAGACCCTCCCACCTTAGCATCCTGAGTAGCTGACATTTGGTAGAGAACGGGTCTATGTTACCCAGGCTGGTCTCGAACTCCTAGGTTCAAGCGATCCTCCTGCCTCAGCCTTCTGAAACGCTGGGATTACAGGCATGAGCCACCGCGCCTGGCCCGCCACCCAGTCTTGACTCTCTCTCCTCCCTCCCTCCAAGTGCTGCTGGCCTGTGTGTCCCGCCTGCTCAGGGCTGCCTCTGACTTGTGGCTTTTGACTTCAGGCCTGGGAGACACCCTTTGGATGGGTTAGGGAGTTGGTAAAGTGGGTGGGGGACACAGCAGGGACTGAATGAGGAGAGTGACATGCTGCAGGCAGGGGTTGGGTGAGAGATGAAGAGTCCATTCATGTACACTGCCAGCGTGTGGCATCTATGTGTGGGGGGCGGTTTTTTGTTTGTTTTGAGGAGTCTCGCTCTGTCACCCAGGCTGGAGTGCAGCAGCACAATCTTGGCTCCCTGCAATCTCCACCTCCCAGGTTCAAGCAATTCCCTGCCTCAGCCTCCTGAGTAGCTGGGATTACAGGTGCATGCCACCATGCCCTGCTGATTTTTGTATTTTCAGTAGAGACGGGGTTTTACCATCTTGGCCAGGCTGGTCTTCAACTCCTGACCTCATGATCCACCCACCTTAGCCTCCCAAAGTGCTGGGATTACAGGTTATGTGTTTCACGTGTGTCTTGTGGGTGTGTCCTGTGTGGGCTGTCTGTATCTGTGTATGACTCAGCCACGTGTCAGCACATCCCTGTCAATGTGTGTCTGATGTGTTTGTCAGCACGCACGGCTCTGTCTGCAAATGTCTGTCTTGCATGTGTCTTTTTTTTTTTTTTTTAATCTTTTTTGGAGACAGAGTCTTAATCTGTCACCTAAGCTGGAGTGCAGTGGCATGACCTTGGCTCACTGCAACCTCCACCTCCCAGGTTCAGGCAATTCTCCTGCCTCAGCCTCCCAAGTAGCTGGGATTACAGGCCCATGCCACCACACCTGGCGAATGTTTGTATCTTTAGTAGAGACAGGGTTTCACCATGTTGGCCAGGCTAGGCTCAAACTCTTGACCTCAAGTGATCTGCCCACCTCAGCCTCCCAAAGTGCTGGGATTACAGGCATGAGCCACTGCACCTGACTTGTGTGTGTCTTTCTGTGTCTGTTGTATGTCTCTGGGGGTATCAGCTGTTTCCCTGCATGGGAGGTTGCGGTGAATGTGGCTGATTCCCTGTGTCGGGGGCTGCTGTCTGCATATAAGACCGTGTCTTGGCAGCGCATGGCGTCTCAAACCTGTAATCCCAGCACTTTGGGAGGCTGAGGAGGGCAGATCACAAGGTCTGGAGTTGAAGACCAGCCTGGCCAATATGGTGAAAACCCATCTCTACTAAAAAAAATACAAAAATTACCCAGGCAGGGTGGGACGCCTGTAGTCCCAGCTAGACCAAAAAAGGCTGTGTGTCTGTGCGTGTGTATGTGTGTGCCCCTCACAACCCAAACGAGCAAACACCTGTCCACCCTCCCGGCTGGCGAGGGGCACAGGAGGTGGGATTCCGAATCACAGGCTCTTTCTGAGTATCTCTCTGTACTTTATTGTCCCTACTGTAACAATGCTCATCATTCCTGAAAACGTCTCCTGAGGGGGCCTCGGCCGAGGCTGACTGGAGAAAAAGGGGCCAGTGACCCCTAGCAGGCTCTGCTGCCTGAGGCCTGGGTCTTCCCCCGGGGTCCCTGAATTGGGAGATGGCAGACAGGAGGCAGGCCAGCTCCTTGCCCGGTTCTCCTAGGATTGCTGCTTCTGCCCATTCTCCTACTGGTGAAACTGAGGCAGAAGAAGCGGCTCAGCAGGGGAAGGCAAGTTTAATCTTCCTGAATGGGGTCCAGGGACACTCCGCATCTGCCACATAGCTTCTTGGGCTGGACATTTTTCCTGGGCACCAGCCAGCAGCTGGAGCAACGAGTGCCATATTTCTTGTACCTAGGGTTGGGGGACAAGAAACTGCCATTTAAGATGCAGTGGGGGCCCAGAAACCACTGCAGGAAACCACCTTTCCCAAGAGGTAGGTGTTTTTTTGTTTCGTTTGCTTTTGTTTGTCTTTTTTGAGACGGAGTCTCGCCCTGTTGCCCAGGCTGGAGTGCCGTGGCACGGTCTCAGCTCACTGCAACCTCCGCCTCCCAGGTTCAAGCGATTCTCCTGCCTCTACCTCCCAAGTAGCTGGGACTATAGGCACCTGCCACCATACCTGGCTAATTTTTTGTATTTTAGTAGAGACAGGGTTTCACCATGTTGGCCAGGCTGCTCGAACTCCTGACCTTGTGATCCACCTGCCTCGGCCTCCCAAATTGCTGGGATCACCGGCGTGAAAACCTCGCCTGGCCAGAGGTAGGTGTTTTGCTTTTTTTTTTTTTTTTTTTTTTGAGATGGTGTTTCGCTGTTGTTACCCAGGCTGGAGTGCAATGGCACAATCTCGGCTCACCGCAACCTCTGCCTCCTGGGTTCAGGCAATTCTCCTGCCTCAGCCTCCCGAGTAGCTGGGACTACAGGCGTGCACCACTCATGCCAGCTAATTTTTGTATTTTTAGTAGAGGCGGGGTTTCACCTTGCCGACCAAGATGATCTGGATCTCTTGACCTCGTGATCCACCCGCCTCGGCCTCCCAGAGTGCTGGGATTATAGGCGTGAGCCACCGCGCCCGGCCCAGGTGTTTTGCTTTTTGCTTTCCCCAAACCCCACGCTGATGACACACGGACTGATTTGGGGACCTCCACCTCTCCCTCCACCATTCTAAGGACCTGATCCCACAGGCGTTGCAGAGAGGGGTTCCATCTTCAGCATCTCTCCAGAGCGGGGTCCGCTGGGTCCGACAGGAAGCACAGCGCCGGAGCCCTGAAGGGTGAGAGGTCAAAGGGCAGGGATCAGAGGTGACATATGTGAGCTCAGGAGGCCTGTGCGGGGAGAGGCATTTTGTGGGGGTCTCTGTCAAGGCCCCACCTGGCTCTGAGCCAGCCCTGGGAGTTGCCAGCTCTAAGCTACAGCAAAAGCCAGGAAGGGAGACAGATGGCAGTACTCCGCAGAGGAGGAAGCTGGGGGTGGGGGTGACTCAGCCCGAGTGGAGGGGGCGCTGCGACTCCTCCTGGAGGCCTCTAAATGGGGAAGCAAAATGGAGAAGGGGGGGCAGGGAGAAAAGCAGGGAAGGCAGGAAATTGGCCCCCCAAAATATTTATAGCTCTTAGGCTTTCAGGACTCACCCAGGGCCTCCGTGTCTCCTGGGTGGGCTGCGGGGCCCTCAGCAGCGTCTGCAAGAGGTTCCTGAGAGCGGCTACTACAGGGAAGGCTGCGGGGCAGACAAGGTATCAGCATCGGGGGGTCCACAACTTGTCCCCCATAGCCCCCCAAAATGAAGACTTAGTATCAAGGTATCAGGCATCCTCCAAGGAAGCAACTGATATCTGAACGGCCTGGTTTTGCCTCTCATTAGTAATATTATTATTATTATTATTATTGGAGATGGAGGCTCGCTCTGTCGCCAGGCTGGAGTGCAGTGGTGCCGTCTCAGCTCACCGCCACTTCCGCCTCCCAGGTTCAAGCAATTCTTGTGCCTCAGCCTCCCAAGTAGCTGGGACTACAGGTGCGCAACACCACACCTGGCTCATTGTTGTTTTTGTTTTTTTGTTTTTTGTTTTTTTTGAGACGGAGTTTTGCTCTTGTTACCCAGCCTGGAGTGCAATGGCACGATCTCGGCTCACCGCAACCTCCGCCTCTTGGGTTCAGGCAATTCTCCTGCTCAGCCTCCTGAGTAGCTGGGATTACAGGCACGCGCCACCACGCCCAGCTAATTTTTTGTATTTTTTTTTTTAGTAGAGACGGGGTTTCACCTTGTTGACCAAGGTTGGTCTCGATCTCTTGACCTTGTGATCCACCCGCCTCGGCCTCCCAAAGTACTGGGATTACAGGCTTGAGCCACCGCGCCCGGCCCTCATTGTTGTATTTTAAGTAGAAAGGGGGTTTCGCCATGTTGGCCAGGCTGGTCTCAAACCCCTGACCTCAAGTGATCCACCCCCCTCAGCCTCCCAAAGTGCTGGAATTAAAGGCATGGCCACTGTACCCAGCCTAATTATTATTATTATTTGAAAAATAGTAGGCACAGGACAGGCTGCCAGATTCCATCCCAGTTCTCCATGTCCTTACTGTGTGAGTCTGGACACATTACCTCCCACGCCAAAGAGTGCCTCAGTTTCCTTGGCTTCCCAATGTTTTTTTTTTTTTTCTTTGAAAAATTTATTGATTGATTTTTAAAAAGAGATGGGAGCCTGGGCAACACAGGAGACCCCAATCTCTACAAACATAAAAAATTAGCCAGGAGTGGTGGTGCAGGCCTCTGCTCTCTGCTCCCAGCTACTTGGGAGGCTGAAGTGGAAGGACAGCTTGGGCCAGGGAGGTCAAGACTGCAGTGAGCCATGATTATGCCACCGCACTCTAGCCAGGGTGACAGAGTGAGACCTTGTCTCAAAAAAAAGAAAAGGCCAGGCAGGCATGGTGGCTCACGCCTGTAATCCCAGCACTTTGGGAGGCTAAGCCCAGAGGATCCCTTTAGGTCAAGAGTTCAAGACCAGCCTGGCCAACATGGTGAAACGCTGTCTCTACTAAAAGTACAAAAATTAGCCAGGCATGGTAGTGGGCGCCTGTAATCCCAGCTACTAAGGAGGCTGAGGCAGGAGAATTGCTTGAATCCGGGAGGCAGAGGTTGCAGTGAGCCGAGATTGTGCCACCGCACTCCAGCCTGTGACAGACTACAACTCCATCTCAAAAACAAAAATATTTCAACTTGTTTTGGCAGCATGATTTAAAAAGTCATAATTATATATATATATATTTTTTTAGTGCATAAAAATTTTCTGGGGGTTGTAAATAATGATAATTTTTATAATGATAATCAGTAAATAAAAATTAGAGGCGGGGTCTCGCTATGTTGCCCAGGCTGGGCTCCCACAATCTTCCCACTTTAGCCTCCCACAGTGCTGGGATTACAGGCGTGAGCCACCACGTCCAGCTCCCCAAGGCTTTTTTTTTTTTTTTTTGAGATGTCGCTCTGTCGCTCAGGCTGGAGTGCAGTGGTGCTGTCTCCGCTCACTGCAGCCTCCACCTCCCAGGTTCAAGCGATTCTCTTGCCTCAGCCTCCCGAGTAGTTGGGATTACAGGTGCCTGCAACCATGCCCAGCTAATTCTTTGTATTTTTAGTAGAGAGGGGGTTTCATCATGTTGGCCAGGCTGGTCTCAAACTCCTGACCCCAGGTGATCCACCTACCTTGGCCTCCCAAAATGCTGGGATTACAGGTGTGAGCCAATGTGCTCAGCCTCCCAAGGCTTTTGAATCAGCCCATACACATCAAATACTGCCTGTTAACCTCTTTTTTGTTGTTGTTATTGTTGTTTTTGAAACATAATCTAGCCCTGTCACCCAGGCTAAAGTGCAGTGGCACAATCTTGGCTCACTGCAGCCTCTGCCTTCCAGGTTCAAACAATTCTCCTGCCTAAGCCTCCCAAGTAGCTGGATTACATGTGCCCACCACCATGCTCGGCTAATTTTTGTATTTTTAGTAGAGATGGGTTTCGCCATGTTTGCCAGGCTGGTCTCGAATTCCTGACCTCATGATCCAGCAGCCTCAGCCTCCCAAAATGCTGGGATTCCAGGCGTGAGCCACTGTGCCCAGCCTACCTCTTACTGTCATCACCAACAAATTGTAGCTGTTAGCATTATTGGGAAAAATCAGCGCAGCCACAGCTGCAGCCTAAGCAGGGCCAGGCCTGCCTGATTCATAAAGAGACACCGGGTCTCACACTGGGGAAGCGGGGAGTGGGGACAGATGGCTGAGTCAGGAGCTGCAGGCCTGGATCTGGCACCAGCTCAAGGTGTCAACCAGAGACTGGGCCACGTGTAACACAGGGCACGTGTGAGGGTCCACACTGACACCAGAGAGCACCCCTGCCTCCCACACTCATGTTTGCATTGTTACAGGGAGAAAGGGTGCCCTGGCCTCAGCCAGCCCCTACCTGTACGAGGGGATGATCAACAGGCTGGCGTCCGGCTTTATCTGAAACCTCAGAGTCACCCCCTCGAACCCCGGGTCCACTTTCTCGGTGCCCCGGCAGGGGTTCAGCTGCTTCCGGGGCCTTCTCTGGGGTGGGGTAAGGGGAGTACCCGAGGGCTGCAGACGGCGGCCCTTCTGGCTGATCCGGGTCTGTGTGTCCTTGGAACCCCTGTCCAGCGGCAGGTGGCCCTGAGTCCCCAGAGCCATCGGCTCCCAGCAAGGCCCCAGGACCTGGGTGTCCAGAGCAGGGGACTGATCCAGCCCCTCCACTGTCTCTTGGAGGAAGCGCAGAGCGGTGACGGAGTTCTGGCATGCAGGCCAGAGGGACCTGGGGACAAGGGCAGTGGGGTCACTCTTGGGGGACTCCTGGGTTCAGCCGACTAGGGTCCGGCTCTTTGCTAGCTGTGTACTCCTGGGCTGGCTACACACCCCACCTGAGGCTCAATCATTTCTAACTTTGGGTCGAAGGTTTACAAGTTGCAAAGTAATTGCAATTCACCTCGCCTACTGTGGGCCGGCCAGGCACATTCTCAGCCCTCGACATCAATCAACCCCTTACGGCACCCGTAGATCACCCCGGCAGGGACCGCCCTGGGTGACCGAGGCAGGGTTTCCAGCCTCTGGCTGCACGATCGAGAAAAAGGTTACTTTTTTTCTTTGTGTTTCTTTTAGAGACTGAGCCTCACTTTGTAGCCCCGGATGGAGTGCAGGGGCGTGAGCAGGACTCAGTGCAGCCTAGAATTTCTGGGCTCGAGCGATCCTTCCGCCTCAGCCTCCCGAGTAGCTGGGACTTACAGGCATGCGCCACCACGCCAGCAGGCTTGCTGTAATATGATTACGATTCTTATCATTTTCATTCTTATTGCGTTGCCCTCCATAACCCCTGGATGACTCCTGGGGAGTGCCTACATCAGCCCCAGAGGCATGGAATTGCATGGCCTCTGATCCCGGAGATGACCCCAAGTGTCTCTGTGGACCAGAACCTCTTTTGTAAGTTTCAATAACTATTATAAAATTGCCACTTTTCTATCACACCAGCAACAAGAGGTCATGACCCCCTGATCACTGGGCCAGGTGGTGAAGGGTCCGGGGAAGGGGTTTGGCCTTACGCACCTCCCACTGGTTCTCCGGCATCCTGGGGTCCTCGGCCTCTCCTGGGAGGAAGATCCTCCCAGCGGCTCCAGGTCCAGACAGGGCAACGCCAGCAGCTTTGCTGCCACTGAGGAGTTCGGCGCTGGTTTGGCCTCCATTGTGCCCCAGCCCAGTCCCCTCCCTAATTTCACTCGGCCCCGCCCCGCTGAGCCCACCCGATGAAACCCACCTGGGAGGGGCGGGACCTGCGTGGTGTGGGCGCTCCTGACTGAGGATGTGATGAGTTCCAGCTGAGAGCGACCAGCCTTGGCGGCGCCTTTCCTTTTCCTGGCTTCAGGTCATCTGCGCACCCCTGCGTGCCAAGAGCCGCCTGGACCCCACCAAATCCCTCCGCAACAGAGGGGGCGGGGCCTCCCACGGGGGCCCTCCCCCTCGGAAATGGGGGCTCCCAGGCCTCTGCCTCAGATCCCCAGTAAGATCTCAGATGCCAGAGAGAAGAGAGCCGGAGTTCCAGCACAGCTGATGCAGGTGTGTGTTTTTGTTTTTGTGAGACCGAGCCTCACTCTCTCACCCAGGCTGGAGTGCAATGGCCTGATCACTGCTCCACTGCAGCCTACATCTCCTGGGCTTAAGAGATCCTCCCATCTCAATCTCCCGAGGAGCTGGGAGCACAAGCACTTACCACCACTCCATGCCAATTTTTACTTTTTTATAGAGACAGGGTCTCGCCATGTTGTCCAGGATGGTCTTAAGCTCCTGGCCTGAAGTGATCCTCCTACCTTGGCCTCCCAAAGTGCTGGGATTACAGGTGTGAGCCATGTGCAGACCCCAGATCTGTCCCCCAAGGACACTCAACATGCTGGGGCCTGTGATACTGATTTATTGCAGCTCCAATCTGAGTCCACTCCTACTCACACCCCGATTCTCAGGGGCATGGGGAAGGCCACCCAACAAGGCACCCTGTCCCCACCAGGGCCTGGACATGGGAACCTCTCCAAAGCAGGGGTGCTGTCCTTCTCAGGGGCTTCCACATCTCTCCCGGGCCTGTCCAAGCTCTGGGCAGGGCTGGCACGTGGCTATTCCCTCAGTCTGGGCCCTGGGGCCTTGGCAATGTGGAAAGGTCTAGGCACCCATGTCAGTGGGGCTTGGGGACGTGGCCATCCACGTAGAAGTTCCTGGTGATCTTGGGCAGAGTGAATTCCGCTCCTTCCAGCTCCCGCGTCAGCACTATCTGGCAGCCCAGACGTGAGTTCTCCTGGAGGAGGGGCGCCATGTCTAGCATGTCGTCTTCCCTGGGGTGGTGACATGGGCAGTGTTAGCCGGGGGCATGCTGGTTGTGGGGTGGGGTGGGGCGGGGTGGGGAAAGCAGTTCCTCTTCCAGGAGCTGGAAATGGGAAGAACAGTGGGGGCTGTCCAGAAGTCCAAGCTGCAGCTCCCAGCTGCAGGGCTGCCCTACTCACCTCTCCTCGGGAGGAGGCAGGAGATCCAGGTGGTCTTCACTCACATACACATGGCAGGTGGAGCAGGCCAGGGAGGCTTCGCAGGCCCCTAGGGGCGGGAAATGAAGTGGGTGCAGGTCAGCGGCACAGTCAGGAGGGGGCTGCTCTGTGAAGGGAAGGGCAAAGAGAAGCCCTCTCTTCCACCACGTGCCTCAAGTCTCCCTCCCAGGCCTGCAGCCCCACAACTAGCCGTTCCCCAGCTTCATACAGGGTTTACAAAGGGACACCCGGGGTGCCCCATTTCTCAGGGACTCCCCAGGAGGCTGCGATGCAGAACCATTAAGGAGCATGGACTTGGCTGCCAGGGAGCTGTGAGGGGAAGGCCAGGCAGGCTCCCAGCAGCCTGTGAACCCTGGCTGTGACCCTATCACTGTGCTGGGCAAATGTGTCCCCATCTCTTGGCTGCTCTTGGTGGATGGACCAGCTGACTCAGTGGTCAGTGTGGTAGGGAAAGGAGTAAGGGATTAGGACTTTTTTTGAGACAGGGTCTCACTCTTGCCCAGGCTGGGGTGCTTTGGCTCCCATCACAGCTTACTGCCTCAATCTCCTGACTTAAGCAATCCTCCCATCCCAGCCTCCTGAGTAGCTGGGACTACAGGTGCACACCACACCACCATGCCTGGCTAATTTTTTTTTATATACGGACTTGCAGTCCATGTTTGTTTCGTTTTTTTGAGATTGAGTTTCGCTCTGGTTGCCGAGGCTGTAATGCAATGGTGCGATCTTGGCTCACTGCAACCTCCTCTTCCCCAGGTTCCAACTACTCTCGTGCCTCAGCCTCCCAAGTATCTGGGATTACAGGCATGTACCACCACAACCAGCTAATTTTGTATTTTTATTAGAGATAAGGTTTCACCATGTTGGCCAGGCTGGTCGCAAACTCCTGACCTCAGCTGATCCACCCATCTCAGCTTCCCAAAGTATTGAGATTACAAGTGTGAGCCCAGCCACCATGCCCAGCCCCCACCCCTTTTTTTTAAGAGATGAGGTTCATGGCCGGGCGCGGTGGCTCAAGCCTGTAATCCCAGCACTTTGGGAGGCTGAGGCGGGTGGATCACGAGGTCAAGGGATCGCGAACATCCTGGTTAACAAGGTGAAACCCCGTCTCTACTAAAAATACAAAAAGTTAGCTGGGCATGGTGGTGCATGCCTGTAATCCCAGCTACTCAGGAGGCTGAGACAGGAGAATTGCCTGAACCCAGGAGGCGGAGGTTGCGGTGAGCCGAGATCGCGCCATTGCACTCCAGCCTGGGTAACAAGAGCGAAACTCCGTCTCAAAAAAAAAAAAAAAAAAGAGATGAGGTTCACCATGTTGCCCAGGCTTTTCTCAAACTCCTAAGCCCATGCAATCTGCCTGCCTTGGCTTCCCAAAATGCTGGGACTACAGGTATATGCCACTGCACCTGGCCAGGAATTAGGGTTGAAAGAGACGGAACCTGAGGTTTTCTGCTGACCACCTGCCCTTGGCCACACCCCCCACATCCTCTGATCATAGAGACATGTGCCTGGGGATCATGTCCCTCCTGGCCTAAAACCTTCCAAAAGGTTTTCACACCCAGAACAAATCCAAACTCCTCCACTTAGTCCTTCATCTCCCTCATTATTCATTCCTTTTCTTTTTCACCTTTTAAAGTTTTTTTGTTCTGTTTTGTTGTTGTTGTTATTGTTTTTTTTTTTTTTTGGGACGGAGTTTCGCTCTTGTTACCCAGGCTGGAGTGCAATGGCGCGATCTCGGCTCACCGCAACCTCCGCCTCCTTGGTTCAGGCAATTCTCCTGCCTCAGCCTCCTGAGTAGCTGGGATTACAGGCACGTGCCACCATGCCCAGCTAATTTTTTGTGTTTTTAGTAGAGACGGGGTTTCACCATGTTGACCAGGATGGTCTCGATCTCTCGACCTCGTGATCCAACCGCCTCGGCCTCCCAAAGTGCTGGGATTACAGGCTTGAGCCACCGCGCCCGGCCTGTTATTGTTTTTGAGACAGTCTCACTGTCACCCAGGCTAGAGTGCAGTGGCATGATCTCTACTCATTGCAACCTCCACCTCCCGGATTCAAGCGATTATCCTGCCTCAGCCTCCCACATAGCTGGGATTACAGACTCCCAACCATGACCAGCTAATTTTTGTATTTTTTAGTACAGACGGGATTTCACCATGTTGGCCAGGCTGGTCTCGAACTCCTGACCTCAGGTGATCTGCCCGCCTTGGCCTCCCAAAGTGCTGGGATTACAGGCGTGAGCCACTGTACCCGGCCTTGTTTTGCTTTTTCTGTTTTCCTGCTTTGCATGAACTATACAGTTCACTCCTTGATGCAATTGGAACCCACCCAGCTCATCCCCACCACAGGGCCTTTGCACTGACTGTATCCCTGGCCTGGAGTATCTTCCTTTCTTTTTGTTTCCGGTTTTTTTTTTTTTTTGGTAAATTTTTGAGACGGAGTCATGCTCTGTCACCTAGCAGCTTGGAGTGCAGTGGCGTGATCTCAGCTCAGTGCAACCTTCACCTCCTGGGTTCAAGCAGTTCTCCTGCCTCAGCCTCCTGAGTAGCTAGGATTACAGGCACCCACCACTCTGCCTGGCTGATAATGTTTTGTGTTTTTATTAGAGACACGGTTTCACCATGTTGTCCAGGCTGCTCTTGAACTCCTGACTTTACATGATCTGCCTACCTCAGCTTCCCAAAGGGCTGGGCTTACAGGCTTTGATCATGGACTGTTTCGGTTCTTTTTTATTCTCTCTTTTTTCCTTGGCTGGACCCTTCTTGTCTTCAGGGACTCCACTCACCTGTCCCCCGATTCCCACATCTCCCGTATCTTGTCCCTCTCCCTTTTACTTTATGCATTTATCAGTCAGAAGTAACCGTCTTCCTTTCTGGCTTGACCTGCTCTCCATCGACCTGCCCTTCTCTGTCTGCACTCAGCCTGGCATGTTACAGATGTGCAAGGAACATGTGTCAGGCTGGGTGCCTGTCACTTTGGGAGGCCACGGTGGGTGGACCACCTGTCGGGAGTTTGAGACCAGCCTGGCCAACATGGTGAAACCCCATCTCTACTAAAAGTACAAAACTTAGTGGGGTTTGGTGGTGGGTGCCTGTAATCCCAACTACTCGGGAGGCTGGAGGTTGCAGTGAGCTGACGTGCTATGAGCCATTCATTACACTCCAGCCTGGGCAACAAGAGTGAAACTCCATCTCAAAACAACAACAACAACAAAAAACAACAACAAAAAGAAAGTCAGTGTAGCTAGAATACAGGGAGGCAGGGGCAAGAGAACACAAATTCCACGGAGGCGTCCTAGTGACCGCTAATAAATGCTTAATAAATACGAGCTGGGCTACTCAGAAGGCTGAGGCAGGAGAATCGCTTGAATTCCTGGGGCCTCTGCTGTCACCCCCTTGTTGAAGATGAATTCTTGAAATCTGCCTGCCTGCCCTAGGGCAGAGCCCTGGAGCTGGCCTCCTTTCAGCCCAGTGCCAGAAACCAGCACTCCATGCAGAGGCGGAGGTTTCGGTGAGCTCAGATCGCACCATTGCACTCCGGCCTGGGCGAGAGAGCAAGCCTCCATCTCAAATAAGTAAATAAATAAGATGGGCAACGGATGAGGCCGCAGTGAGAGGTTTGGATTTTAGTCCATAATTGGTCGGAAAAGCCATGAAGAGACACACCTGATTTGTGTTTTTTTTTGGACAAATGGATAAAGACCTCCTTAATTCCCCGTGCCCGGTTCCTACCTTCCAGGTCCACCCCGTGGCGCTGGGCCAGGTGGAGAACATTGTCCCCGACTCTGCCGCTCACTGGGATTCGCTGGCCTGAGCGGTCTACGAACACCACGTTCACCCTGGGGACAGATGGAGGTGCAAATGCCGAATGGGCTCAGGATGATGGGCTCGGGTAGAATCTAGAGTTAGGAAGTCGGGTTTGAGGCTTGACGGACAGGGACTGAAGAGGGCGAAGCAGAAGGGGGACCTCGAGATGAAGCTACAGAGCAAGATGGGGACCGGAGGAGTTTCGTAGAATGAGGAATGAGGGACTTGGCCCCCTGCACTCAC